TCATCATCATCATCATCATCAGCAGCAGCAGCAGAAGCAGCAGCAGAACCAGCAGCAGCAGCAGCAGCAGCAGCAGCAGCAGCAGCAGCAGCAGCAGCAAATATATAAATATTTACCTCATAGTATGCAATTAGATTTTCTAATACATATTTTTTTTGATGGTCCCAGGCGGGAAACTCTGTTGCTTTTGTCTCTCCACCTGCTGCTTGCTGCTGCTGCTGCTGCTGCTGCTGCTGCTGCTGTTGCTGCTGCTGCTGCTGCTGCATGAGTGTGTATTTGGAGGGAAAGATGCTGGTGAGTTGCTGCAGCAGCGAGAGCCTTTCGTCAGCAGCAGCAACAGCATCTGCTCTGTTATATTCATCCAGCAGCAGCAGCAGCGGCAGCAGCAGAAAGAAATCCCCATTGAGCTCCTCCAGCTGTACATACACCCCAGGCAGCTGTGCTGCTGCCTCAGCTAACCCTGCAGGCACGCTGCAGCACAATATACCTGCAGCAGCAGCAGCAGCAGCAGCAGCAGCAGTGGCAGCAGCAGCAGCGGCAGCAGCAGCAGCAAACAGGCCACAAGAAAGAAGGAAAATAATAATGAATGCTTCTCATAGTTGCTGCAGCTGTTTAACGTTGGTGCTGCTGCTGCTGCTGCTGCTGTTGCTGCTGTTGCTGCTGCTGTTCTCTCTCGCGGCACAAACTGCTGCAGCAGCAGCTCGGTGCTGCAGCAGCGGCAGAAGCATCATCCGCAGCAGCAGCAGCAGCAGCAGCAGCAGCAGCAGCAGCAGCAGCAGCATATAAGCTATGGGGTGTATAGGCAGCTCACCTCTCTTTTTAAATATCTCCGTAGGCGTCGGGGGCTTCATTTTATTATCTGCTGCTGCTGCTGCTGCTGCTGCTGCTGCTGCTGCTCGCTTGCGCTGCTGCTGCGCCTCATAGAGATCCCTTGCTTCTTGCTGCAGCGCCTTCAGCTCCTTCTCAGCAGCTGCATCAACTGCTGCTGCTGTTGCTGCTGCTGGTGCTGCTGCTGCTGGTGCTGCTGCTGCAGGTGTTGCTGCTGCTGCTGTTTCTGCTGCTGGTGCTGGTGCTGCTTCTGCTGCGGCATCTGATGCTGCTGCTGCTGTTGCTGCTGCTGCTGGGGCTGTTGCTTCCCCTTCCTTTGCCTTTGCTGCTGCTGCTGCTTCTGCTGCTGCTGCTGCTGCTGCTGCTGCTGCTTGGAGA